AAACTAAAAAATGGATTTTTACCTTAAGGCAAGTTGCCTGAACTTCCAACATGTGGTAAATAAGCGGCTTAATCACTAAGAACTTAGTATATTAATTTATGAGTGATTTTTAAGAAAACAGAGTTGTATGGGATGGGACAAAAAGGACTTTGATGATTTTTATTAAATTAACGACTTGTCGTAAGGCTGTAATATTCTAATATGTTCATCATCATAGATGTTCTATTATCACAATATGTTTCATAAAATCATTTTCTTTTTACTATGAAGAAACATCTCTGATATTGTTCACTAAACGCTAATCAGCACGATTTCCAATCAATTTCTTTCAGACAGTTTCAGAACTTTTGGTTAGATTCAAATTTTTTGAATAAACGGGTACGAAAAATTTCGCACTTCTCTACTTATTACAAAAAAAAACATTTGGCCGATCTTTGCGCAAATCTGCTAAAGGCATTTTCTGTCTAGTAACTAGACTTTAGTTAATGTAAGAGCTTTTAATTTATGAAATAGTGCAGTCATTTTTGAGAAAACATCGCTTAAAGGTTAAGAATTGACTTACATTTACACACACACATGTAAATATTTTTCAAATTTGGTCTCAAACAATTAAGAATGACTTCAAAAGTCTATACAACATGATATTAGCAATCGATTTGTTTCGTGAAAGCAAACTTCTCTATCATTAGTTAACAATAACTATTTAATTTAATGGTCTGGGGCGTTAATCAGTTCGACAGAAAAAAGCTCACCAGTCTATGTGATTAAAATTGTATAATTATATTATCTTACTTCCATTTATGTTCGTTTTTATTACTTTCTTGGATTTATCGAGGTTTTGTATAAATGTATCTATGAATCGTTCATCTTGATGCCGGCGCATTAGCGCTCGCCAACTGTATAAGCAACTCGTATTTTATCGGCATCCCTTTGCCATTTTTGCACCTCGGTCATGTCATTCATTAACTTGGTTAAGATAAGAAAGTATTCCACGAAACGATGGTATACATTTCTAATAGTAGATGGGAAGAATATGGATTTTTTTAAATATGTTGGTATTAATCTCTCAATATAAGATGATAGTCAATCAATTAATTTAGCTCAGTCATAATGATGATTCGTTTTCAAAAGTGTGCATTTGGTACTCTTGTTACTAATTGGGAAATACAATTTTTCAATTATTGCTAATAGTCATAACTTAATATAGCTATTAATTGGCCATTCGTCGAATTGAACTCTTAGATTTATAAGACCATTAGAGCTATATCAGTGTGAAAATTTATTGAAGTCGTCAAAATACATTTTTTACAATTACAATTAAAGATTTAACAGCACAATTTACCATTTAATTAAATAGTTTGTCTTGATCAACTAAAATAAATTATAACAAAAAAAATAAAGAGGTTTTAATCTTTTAAGTTGATTTTTCGGTTTTCAACAAAACATCGACTAAAGGGCAAATTTTCGCCACACACTTTTTCTATATTGGAGTCAAACGATTCAGAAAGAGATGGATGAAAGTTAACTTAATATATAAGAAAAACATTTAGTAATAGTTTGCTGAGAATTATTGTATTTGCATTTTGTATATACATAGAATTAACACGTTTGCGTGAATTATTTTAAATAATAATACAAATATTCATAAATTGATTATTTAACATAAAAACTAAGTTGAAGGAAACTGTGTTGACTACTCATGCTACTGATTTCTCTGAATTTGATAAACTACATTCAAAAGAATTTCCTGTGTAAGATTTATCTAGCATTTATAGTTGTATAGGTGTATAAATTTAGTTAAGTAAATCATTTTTTATAATTAACTAAAATTAATTCAAGCAATTTATAGTTATTTTTCCGAATTTTTTTGTATCATTCTCTATTGCCTGTTTATTATTTATATGGATAATATGGATAATAATATGGATAGTATTCATATGGATAATAGTGATCATATTGATTGTAACCGTAATCATACTGGTCACATAAATTATTGTAGCATGTGTCGTCATTGGTACAATTATTAACAGCTTCTATTGCAATATTAATATTGTTGATGATAGATATATAATTATTTACTGAAGGTGTGTTCATCAATATGTTGATATCTTCAAACAAATGACTAATAGCGTTGGCTAATAAAAGCATATTTTCATCTTTAGGATCTGCATTTGCTTCTAATGTTTCAGCAAGTTGTTGAACAGCGTTTGCGATTGCTTCATGGTCATGTCCAAATTTCACTAAAGGTAGCAAAGATTTTCGTTGTTTCAACTCCTCGGGATGCCAGGAGCAATCATGTTCTACGCATTGTACAGATATGGAGTAAAGAACTCCAATATAATTGCAGATTTGCTGCACAGGTTGAAATACTTGGTCTCCACCTTCTCTGCCAAATATGACTCTTTTCCTTTTTGCTGGTCCCCCTTCATCATCTGAATGATCACCCGAATTCAGCATAATACTAGTCGTCGTGTTTACTACAAATTCATTAAATGATTCTTGGCTATTTTCAGTTAAATAACCATGAGCGAATGTAGCGACTTCAGTAATCATTTGTTTAAAAGAACTTAATAAAAGTCCTTGGAATTCTGTGAAACCTAGCGGAATCTTTGCAGCAAATTTAGATGCTGTTCCATTTTGATGGTCGTGGTCCTTCGAGTCGTCT